ATTCAAACTACAAAAAAGAGCTTTGAGATCGATCTCGAAAGTTAAGTATAGAGAGAGTTGTCGTCCATCATTCAAAAATCAGGAAATACTTCCTTTACCTTGTATCTACATTCTTAATTGTTTGCTGGAAATTCATAAAAACAAAAAGAATTATCAAACAAATGATGCTTTCCATAATTATACAACAAGAAATTGTGATCTGTTTCGTACAACTAAACACCGTTTAATGATATCGAAACGTAACTCCACAGATGTTAAGCTTTATAATACACTTCCTGCAAATATCAAGGAAACACCTATACATTTATTCAAAAGAACAATCCGAAAGTTTTTGTTATCCCACTGCTTCTATTCAGAGAGGTAGTACATGGAGGCTGAGGTAGACTTTACTTGAGCAATAAAATGAATTAATAAATAATAAGAATAGACACAACGACCATATCATTAAGAAGATGAAGAAAACCAAAATCAGTATATAATAGCATATCAACTTCCACCAGGCTTCACCCATCATAATTATTTTAAAGTGTAATTTTGTATTCTTTCTGTATTTGTTTTTGTAATTTCTTGAATATTCTCTTTCACCCATATTACTGACTAATCACAAATAAAATTGATTTTTTGTAACATGAATGAATAAATAAATAAATTAACGAAAAAATAAATAAATGAAACACTCCTCATCTGAACTCGAGATCTTGGGGTTGGACTTCTTCCTGAGAGGTGGTTTAAGTTACGAGGATGCGGAAAGTCAACAAGTTGTTTCCCCTTGGATCAGGAATCGACGATTGATATTTTGTTCACTCCACTGTAGAAATTGTCTATAAACCATGATTAGAAATCAAATTATTCCAGAAAAAAACTCTAATAGCATGGGACACAAGCGAGTTATCACCTGTAACTATAAAGTCGACTTTGCTGATTGTAACCCACCTGCGATTATTAGATATAGAACCTTGCTACCACTAGCGAGTGCATCTGTATATTACTAACAGACAATGTTTCTGTAGTAGGTATATACTACTTTGCTAACGCTAGTGGGTGCATCTAATAAAAGGAGTACTTAGGGCAATTTCATTATCATAGGTGAAGAACTTTGCTTATCTTGGTGGCTGATCATATCGTCATATGCATGACCTTCTTCATGTAGTTATTGAGTCATTTTCCAGGATTGTTGTTATGATAGAACGTGAAATTTTGAATAAAATCCGATTTCACTTTCTATAACTTCCAACCTGGTGTTTGGTATGATCTGAAATTCGATAGATCAAAAGAAGGAGGAGATGTTGAATGTGAAATTTTAATATTTTGATCAAAATACATTGAATATCTTCACTTTTATTATTCCATCATCAATCATGGTACTAACTGAAGCAAAAAAATGATAATAACTGCATTGAAGGAAGGAGGTATTCGTAACTGTTACTATCATGAACTATCAAATTTGGAATTGTACAACAATTCAATTATAAGTAGTGATAACGATAACCAGTGATGAAATTGTTATTTATATTTCTTGAATATTTCCGATAATTTCAACTCATATGTTATGATGATTACATGTTCGAGCAATATTTCAGATTTCTTTCTCAAACGTTGATTAGGAGAAAAAATAAAAACGAAATCAGTTATTTTCAGTCAGTTCAAAAAAAGAACGGCTAAACTGTTTTCAATTTCCAAAACGGCATATTGAAGTCATTTGATCGAGTTACACAAATTGTAGCTACTGTGAACAAATTTATTTTCTTTTCCGTTTAGCTATTTTCTGAATTCCGTCCCTTTAAGAACACGGCGAAAACCTATACGTATTCACCAACTGCAGTTTGTTATAAGAGGATTAGGTTTTTACAGGAAAATATCGATATATTCCTCTGAAATATATGATTTTTGTATTTCTCATATATCATTGGTAGTATTTTATATCCTGCAAAATTCAGAAATATAGGTATGGTTCCATATAGAGAAGTAGGTACTTTCTTGACAACGGCGATTTGTTGATAAGTGGCTTATCTCGACTTTTATTATGGCCCATACAGAAAAGACTGTTCTGTTATTTTGAATCAATTTCAGTATGAAACGAAAATCCCTATTCAGAAGTTTGTTTCTCAGCTTACATCGAAAAAAATCAACGATAATTCGATTCATCCACTTTGAATGTATGTACTTTGTCTTGGTTGGCTGACTAATAACTATATATTTTAACTAAATGAGCTTGGTCAGTGCGTAGTACCAGACTGAAATAGTATGTACGAAGTAAGGGGTCACATAAGATCTGTCGATATTTAAATATATCATATTCAAAATACATTTTTATGATATCTTAAATTGTGATTGATTCTGATATTTTATTTGATAATTGAATTGAATATTAAATATTGTAACGTTTTGGAGCTTCGGCTGGAGATAGTCCTACATGATTTACTGTTGCGTTCCAATCGACTATAGTGCTCCTAAGGTGGTGTATGACGTCAGTAACAAAGCCTTCACAGGATACAGGGGGACTAAGATATATAATGCAAGTTGGTATGTACAGGGTATCCCAATTTGGGCACTTTTGCGGGGTATCTCCCTTATCAGTGAAGATAGAGCATTGCGGTTTTCGCGACAGTGTACTACTTTTTTATGAAAATAATAATGGCGCAAGCAGAATTGTGATAGCTCTTCCGGTTGTCGAGATACAGGGTGGAATTGAAAAATATCACTTTTCAGGCACCCTCCGTGTCTCAGTTATCTTTGAACTTATCGAAGGAGTTAAAACTTGTTTTTATAGAGTTTTTCTCGTAGAATCCAGTGGCGTAGTTATTTTTTTGCCAGCACCTTTTGTTTTTTAGTTATGGAGCAAACATATGTTTTTTTAAATGGAACACCCTGTATATTATTTCATATATACATTGAGCATGAAGTGGGCTTTCCAAAAATATATAATTGTATACAATTATTTTCCATTTGAAAAAACATATGTTTGCTCCATAACTAAAAAACAAAAGGTGCTAGCAAAAAAATAACTACGCCACTGGATTCTACGAGAAAAACTCTATAAAAACAAGTTTTAACTTCTTCGATAAGTTCAAAGATAACTGAGACTGAAAAGTGATATTTTTCAATTCCACCCTGTATCTCGACAACCGGAAGAGCTATCACAATTCTGCTTGCACCATTATTAATTTCATAAAAAAGTAGCACACTGTCGCGAAAACCGCAATGCTCTATCTTTACTGATAAGGGAGATACCCCGCAAAAGTGCCCAAATTGGGATACCCTGTACAGGCTGTGCCATTGATGTCTTTGTATTTAATGAAATTGTCGAATATGTCATTACTCCAACACTAGTGTCGTTACATCTCTCATGGAAATATCATGAGATGGAGCTTCAGATATTGAAAATCACGTGTTTCTAGAATTTCTTCCATACATTTGCATCATACTCTATATATTATAGTGCCTTCAGAAGAATTTGAAATAAAATCAGAAGTATATTTATTTCAAATTTATTTTCAAATATTAGCAATCAATTAATCAATCAATCAATTCATCAATCTGTGCTTCATTGTCCAAGAATATTGATCTCATTAACGAAGCTTGTATGATTTATAAAGTGGAAGGATCCATTTCGTCATGAGAGAAAAAAGAAGAATATCATTACAGTACAAAATAGGATAGGTCGTAACTATACCTACATGATATATAGAAAGTTAGCAATTATAAAATTCGTATACAACACACAAGAACAATACATAAACAAAACAGATACATACATTATATAGCTTACAATATGATTGAATGAATATATTGAAAGAGGACATAATTTATTTGTCATGATAAAATTCCTTCAGGTTATAATATGTCTTTGGAATGACGAAGTCTCTGATACCCTTAATTTTTGCTTTCCTTATGTATTCTGACAAATGGTTATACATCTTCCTGATCTCATATAATAATACCTGAATTTTTTGCGAGAGATGTTTTAGGTATTGACAGAGGAATTTTGTTCTCATTTTGGGTGCATAATATATGATGATTCTTAATATTTCCATCGATATGAATCAGACAGGTCGTTTAAAGGATGGAAATACATTTCATTTTCATCGCTGGAGATGACAGTTATATTCACGTTGTGGACATTGATAGTCGTAACTCAACATTAACTCAACATAGGTACAGGCAAATATGAAAGAATACATATTCAAGTGCTTTATCAGAAACGAATCTCTCTGGAATTTACTCATCAATCTCACTGTATGAACATAAGATTCCGAAGTGGTACTATCAAATATATATTTCAACTACTTGGCATTAGCCAGGAAAGTGGTTGTTTTTCTCCCGAAATCTACCATTATTGTTCATTTTATGAACATTGTGTGGAAATGACTTTGAACTGTTTGTATTTATTCAACATTTCATTCCACTTTGAGCATTGTGGCTATTTCGTAGTTGAAATTACGCCAGTCGGGCAACCAGTCACTCCCGTATGGGAATTCCAGCTTTGGAGTGATTCTTTCCTTTGTTCTACTCAGATGGCGTTACTTTCACATTGTCGATGAAAGACGCCTCGGGGGTATATAATGCCGACTTAATTTTAGTTTGAGTAGGCTTCGCTGAGTCGGCGGTCTTAGGAATGCTGGCTGTAGACTACACTGCACTGATGAGAGTAAATGAGCTCGAAACTGGTCTGTGGTTGTCTAGCGTAGCCTGGCTAAATCGAAATCAATAGGCATTCAGGAAATAGTCACTTGTATCAGTATTCATTTATACGAGTCGGTGCATAGATTTCGGGAGGATGTAATCCAGTGTGAAATCTACCATTATTGTTCATTTCATGAAAATTGTGTGGAAATGACTTCGATCTCTTCGTATTTACTGAATATATATTTGTTACAGGTGGTACCAACAGCCTCCAAGCCCCACGTCGTCTGAGCTCATCATCCATCAGCGCCTTCAATTCTTCCACCAATCCACCAATCACCAACTCAGAATGTTCCACATTCATCAAGAAACAAATCATGCAAGCAGAAATATTCCGAGGAACACCCCTCAACAACGAATACGAGCTCATCCCTTTCAACCACTTCACATACAGCCGCGTCTATCCAATAGACCTAGGTCTAGGCAAACGCGTCGTCGAGAAGCCCATCGGATACAAACGAAGAGACATCTTAGAAGCTCTAATGAAGGGAGTAGAGATCCTGAATAGAAACATCACAGAAAAAATCGGGAAGTACACCCTAGATGACTTCTTGGAAGGCCTATACAGGGTTGAACCGACCACGGGAACTCAGTACGAACTTTATTTCAAGACGAGGACATCGAGCTTCACCAAGGTGGTCGTCATGAGACCTTTCGCTCCTCTGCAAACCATCAAGACCATGGCATTGGCTGGTCCCAAGGAGAAGGAACTGATTCATATAATACTGCCACTCTCTGGCAGGACTGCTACCTTCCAAGGATTCATGGACAAATTCGTGAAGATTGCACTCAAGAACGATAGGAGAGTGCATCTGACTGTCGTCTACTTTGGAGAGGAGGGTCTCTCGGAAGCTAGATCTATAATGTCTAGAGTGCTCATGACGAAGAACAGTGGGGGTAGTGCTAATAACTTGAGGCTCCTGGCTCTGAATGAGACTTTTTCCAGGGGCAAAGGATTGAGAGTGGGGGCTGAAAGGACGTGGGACGAAAAAGTCAACGACAAAGACAAAGACAGAGACGTGCTTTTGTTCATGTGTGATGTGGACGTGGTATTCAGTGCCAGGTTTCTGGATAGGTGTCGATGGAACACTAAATCTGGGAAAAAAGTGTATTATCCGGTTGTGTTCAGTTTGTACAATCCCCATGTGGTGTATACGCTGCAAGGACGGGACGTTCCTCCTGAGAACGATCAGTTGGTGATATCCAGGGACACAGGGTTCTGGAGAGATTTTGGATATGGCATGACTTGCCAGTATAGGTGAGAATCATTACTAGTAGTAATAACCGAAGAACATTGATAATTGTTCGAAAAAAATTTATAACAGATTTCGATATATAAATGACTTAGCAAACATCACTATCAGAGGAAAGTTTACTATGTTCTCAGATGACACCACAATACTGTGGCATAGCAATAATAATGACGAACTGAGTAACTATGTCGCTGAAGATATATTGGGAGTAAAAAATTGGTGTGATGCGAATAAATTATCATTCAATATTTCTAAAACATGTATTTTAACGTTCAAGTGCACTCTTAATGATATACTTTTGGAAAACTCAAGAATTTCTGTCAACTGTTATTTTAGAATTTTGTATCAGAATTATTCAAACAATATTCGTTTGTATCAGATTTCATCATTTAAAATATATGCGGAAAGTTTACAAAAGTGAAATCGAAGAGAATGTTCTGGTACTTGCATATATCCAAGAAGTGTTATAATGAAGCATCCATCTTTGAGAACAATTTATTTATTCTGCGCTGAGCATGACAATAAACGTGAAACAAAGGTTGCATGCAGTTGCATGTATTATGTTCTCAATTCCCATTCCTTTCGAATTATTTTGTAGGTTAGGAATAGCAGGTATGTTAATGTAATTTTCGGAGTTCGTAGAAAAATCATAGTATGTAACGCGTTTATAAACTCTTCTAGACACTCGTTTATTAAACACTCGCTCCGCTCTGCTCCGCTCGTGCTTAAACTACTCGTTACGAAAAGGACGTTTATAACACTTGTTACATAATATACTAATTCACATGTCCAGAAACATAAAAAGTTACAGGAGCGAGCCTTACTGGAACACCTGATATATCAAAAAGTTCAATCAAAACTAGAACGACTATGAATTTATATATGATTGCGTCCGCAATTTCACTCCGCATTGGGATCATATAGTAGAACACGTTTATTATTCGCGACTGTGTAATAAAACGAACCTGATGCAAAACCATAGCTATTTAATTCGTTCAATAAATTTTTCAAAACTGCCAATGCAGCGGAGAGTATAAGTATTTGAGCGAACTGCAGCAAATGGTCAGTTATCATGTGGAAAACCATATCAATGTGAATATAAAAAGTAACATTTATTCCCATTAGTCGAAAATAGGAATCAAATTGATGACTCCATGAATGATTTTCATTTTTCTGATCATGGATTCTTTTTAGGTGTAACTGGTAGCGTGAATTTTTAGGAGGACTTACATTCCGCGTTCACTATAATATTGATTTTATTACTGCATTCCGATCGAAAGCCCACAACGTGTTTTTTGTGTCTCGTTTGGTCACACAAAGCGGTATAAGAACCTCTTATATTCCACCTTCCTAAAACAAGAATATGAGCTCTGAGAATGAAAATCGTGGACCAAAAAGTAGGGGCCGCGGCTGCATATAATTCGTCAGAACGTATTCTATCAACACCGTATTATATCAAAATATATTCGATCAAAATGGTAATTCAACAGAACCGTAATTGAACGGAGCAGTAATTCATCGGCATGCAAAACATCATAATGTAATCTATCATGTTGTAAAATGAAGGAATGTACTTCATAAGAACGTAAAACATCATACCTTACTTTATAGAAATGGTAATTCATCATAACCGTATTCCATCAGAATGGTATTTCATCAGAATCGTATTCTGACAGCACCGTGAATCAACAAAACCGTATTTCGTCGCTTCAGTAATATATCATAATGGTAAATCGTCATGATGGTAAATGATCAGAACTGTAATCCGTCGGAATATTATTTTGTCAGCAGTGTATAGTATCGGTACTGTAAAACATCATAACCGTATTTTAACAGAACTGTAAATCATCAGAACTGTGTTTCAAAAGAACCGTAATTCATCGCTTCCGTATTTCATCAGCATATCAATGTATCATAATCGTTTTCTATCAGAACGCCAAATCATCATAACCGTATTTCATCAAAACCGTATTCCATCAGAACCGTATTGTATCAGCACGGTATTTCGTCAGAATGGTAATCCATCGTCGGTACAGTGCCCTATCGGGAACGGATTATCGATTTTCTGTCCGCTTTTCAGGTATGCTATGCGATGGCGCTGGTGAATGCATGTAAGATAAAATAAGTATCTGATCAGAATAACTATTCTAACATGAAATATGTTATTCTGAATGAGATCTCGATAGAATTTCACCTCAAGAATCTTTGTAAGCTTCTCAATATAGCTTCTCAATGTGGGATCGTATATTTTTTATATTCTTATTGTCGGTGTTTGATGAGTGTATAGAGAGGCAGTTAGTTTCAACTGCCTGCGTGCGGTATCAATTATCAGGAATTCAGTTGTACCTACGTAAATTAGATTGAAAAAAAAAACCTTATTCAATTTAGAATTTCCTTACACTCTGTAGATATGCATCTTATCGAAATGTTATATCTATACAAGAATATATAGAGAAACAAGGTGCTTTCAGAGTCAGAATGAGATTAATCGATGAAATATTTCATGCGTATACAGGGTGAGTCACAATAATTTGAGCCCGTGACGAATTTCAAGATCATCAGATAAATGAACTAATTTTGAAGTTGAAAGTTCGTATCACCGTATATCCTGAACTCAATCCGTTCTGTGATAAGGTGTCAGGAATTGGATTACGATTTGAAATTTCAATAGGCTATCGACTGCTGAATTAGTTATAGGTTTCCATTTATTTAGATTTTTTTGACCCATGGAGTACTCACGGTCGCATATGACCACATTATTCTTCATATCACCATTTTTAGACATCAGAATTATTCAACATTAGTTAGGCTGTTTACATCACACATACTTCATGAACCTGAACTCTCAAGTTACCGAGATGGATGCGGAAAACTAAATATTTCACATCCCCATTCAGAATAATGATTATATGTCAGTTGTCACTTTGCCCGCAGTGAGATATAAAAAATGGAATCACTTTTTTTGATAAGGTTCACATGGATTGTTTTATGTTTCTACCTGATTCTTTGTTCATCGTTCGATGACTATTTTCATATTGTATCCACACTTCCCAAATTATTTGTTCTTCAACACTTTAACTGTCGCAGTCACACAACCCTTTTGAGTTCTCATGAGCTTGGACAACACCATGCACATATTCGTTGCATACGTCAACAATTCAATGTATTTACCCACATCTTGCAAGCAATATCAAGGATATATTTCTACAGGGGTAGCTGGAACCACACTCAACATGTTGTTTTCAAATGCAACTCTATGGCATGTGACCACTCATTGGAAATCAGGTGGAAAGAGGAATCTAGAGCAAACGGGCAAAAATTTAGGTTTTTGTACGTCTCCGAACATTTATTTCAAAAATGATTTTTAAAATTATTGACGGATTTTTAGTTACTTCGAAAGAACACAGAAATCAACGAACGCACTGTATTCAAATTCTATGTGTGATATATCTTTGAATCCAGCTTCCCATGGATATTTCAGCAATTGAATAATATTTAGGATCTACCATTTGAAAGAATCATCGAGGACGTCATGAATCAGACGTGAATCACTCTGTATATTTGATGTCTGCCTACAAATGCGACCTGCTTCAATAGTTGCCTCAAAAATGAATAGTTTGGCTCAACATGAATGTATCCACTACTACTATACGAGAATCATGCTCGATGTGACGTATTTGCTGCATAACAACCCTCTATGTGTGATATATGTTTGAATTCAGTTTTCCATAAAGATTTCAAAAATTGAATAATATATAAAAAAAATTCACGCGGACATAATAATTCCAACTTGAATCTCCGTCTATATTTAATTTTCCTGTATGAATCTGGCGAATTTAAATTGAGAGTCGAATTATTCCAAGAATTTGAAGAAAAGTTATCGGAAAAATGAACGAAATATAGATTGACCGACAAAAACGCCCCAAGCCAAACAAGCACCGTTAGTTAATATTCGACTTCTATGAACAAAAAATAGCAGGAAATGCGAGGAAATGGCTCATCAGATACTAGGAGGAACATATTTTTATAATTCAAACTCCCCTAACAACACAGGGATGTCCTAGGTACGTCCCTTCTTTGTCCCGCGGTACAAGGACATGATTGGGGCATCCAGGGGATGTCCCGCAGTAGTTGTCGAGTTGGCATCATGCCCGGTACATCCCTAGGTTATCCTATTCGTGTCCCTGGAATATCTGATATCGATTCACAGTCATTGAATGTATCAGAACTTCTTAAGAAATTACCATTTTTCGCAAACAGAAATCGTGAATGCATAATGCCCCTCATTTTTAAACGAAAATGTATTCATTCAGGTTTCTGTAGTTTAGTCCTGTTCAGAAATTTGTTCAGTACATGAATCTTCAGAAGGCATATTAGCTAATGGAGTAAGGTGCGTGCATTATGAGCTGAAGGTCCCGGGTTCAATCCCTACTCCACCTACATTTTTTCCTTTAGTCGAAGGGATGTCCCTGGAATATCCCTGGGACGTCCTAGGTATATCCTTCCTTCGTACTTGGTACATCCTAGGGACGTATCAGAAGACGGCCAGCGGATGTTCCTTGGATATCCCTAGTATTAAATCAGGGACGTCCCTGGGAATGTACTATAGTATCAGCGATAGTAATTTCTTTTCGAATAGTATCAACTTTTTTTTTTATCGATTCTAACTTTTACGTAAAATTATTCGACGATAAACCTTGAAAATGCTCTTCATTATCGTACTGACAATTTGATTCATATGTATGAAAAATCCCGTAACACGCTGTGATTTTGTCATTATGACAGCAAAAAAACATTGCTCTGAGTTTTC